ATACAATAATCTGGGAGACAGCAAAGGGCAAGACATAAGCATCTGAAGACTGAATCTCAATTAAGTTCTGTCATCTGAAGACCAATTTTTCATCTCCCAATTCAGCTATTCCAGACATTTCATGACATATATTTTTTCCAAACTAAAACTGAAGTCAAGAACTTTTGTCATTTAGGCTGGAACTTCAAAGACTTAAAGCATTAGCAACACTAGGAAAACTTCACTCACCTCAAACATATTCAAGAATCTACTGAAAAGCATGGGAAAGTACGACTCCCAGTCGATAAAGCTGCAGTTTTTTATCACGCGAGCTAGTACAGCTATCCATTGACTATTCCAAAATTGACAATTCGGTATTGAATCCCAGAGCTCTAGACAGTTTTTTATCCATTTTCTACAAGGTCAGAAGAAGAGAAAACGAAGTTCAAATTCTTTTGTTAAAATACGAGAAAACCAGAGATATCACTGATCTCCAAAAAAAATGTTCTTACTCGGAGAAGAAATCCTGATTTCCAGGGTTCGTAGGAAGGAACAATCTCACAAAACCAGAGCCCTCAAACGAGGAATTATGCCAAGGATTCTCCAAAAGAGACCTGAACGTGGATAGAAGAAGATCCAAAAGATGAGCAGAGATATAGCATTTAATAGACTCTCTAATTACAGCCACCAATCTAGCTACACATACAGTCTTAAAGAGACAAAGAAGGTCCAACTCAATTCTATTATTTTCTTTAATGGTTCTATTAAAAAGCTGGAATATAGTCCCATTGCCCCTATTAGTGAAGACACAACTCTTGACTTGCTCGGGACTGCGAGCTTTATTAAGCGCAGACATCTATACATGTATCCTAATAGTACAAGTTTGATATGGTATTTACTCATTAATTTACCCAGAGCGATGTACCATCATAGGGACATGGCATACAGGAGAGAACTGGTGAAAAATACGACGGCCATAGTGAAAAACTTTGCAACGTCATCAAAGATTCATGCATGATGAACACAATGCTTCCTTCCTATAGTACTTTCCTCCCTTTTCCAATTCTTTGTCCATAGCAGAAATAAACAGTGTGCTTTCACATATAAGAATGCAAGCTAGAATAGGCAGGATCATGATAGCGACTTCACAATTCTCTTGACAATACTAGATACACTAAAGCATTTACAGAAGTAATAGCACTACCATGATGAGAGTAAAGATCTGGTGTTAACAACTTACATGAATTCAGACCATATCTCCGATGCGGCCCCTTGTGGAAAAAATCTCCTACAGGAACGAATGAGAGAAGTAAGAGCCTCAAAGTGTCGTTGTCTCAACCTCCAACCTTCAGGACCCGGGCTCCTATAGAAGAAAGAAGTTCGAAAACATTATACATGAAATAAAACAAAGACATCCAACAGAGCTAGACAATTTATTTCCCCCATGAGTATCTAAGAAAAAAAACCATAACTTGTGGCTGCCAGATATTGAAAGAAGACTCACCTGCTGAAATGTGCATGAATCAAGGTATCATACAAGGGCCTCCACTGAACTTTCAAAGACAGCTTCTTACGATACTTGTTGATCAGTCTGACTAAAACATTACCCCATCTAACCTATGGTACCATAACCAACCAATCACTCAAAAGGTAAGCATAAAAAAATGGAATAGCAAGGGCATATGAGGAAACAGAGCAAGTAACTGGAGTTCATTCTGGTATTAGTTTCGAACCTGTGCATACAACTTATTCTCAGATGAATGAAAAATTTGTAAGCCAATTTCCACGAGTTCACTAACATCTTCCACGGACAATTCACTTTTCGCTCTAACAAAGCTGCAAAAGGAAAAACAAACGTCATCAGACCCCTGGACCGCTACATGGAATAGCCAAATGCAGCATACTAAGAAACAAGTATGCCCAACTTACAGAGTGAAAAACTACAAGATGGAAATTACTACTCAATCAATCACAGGTACATAGAGGCTACTAGAGTAACCAGAAAACCAGTGGAACCAGTCTGTAAAATGATTTTCAGACTACTAGATTGCATGATTTAAGTATAATTCTTAACCTAACTACAATATTCACGCAAATTCCAACATTATACACTGTTTATTAAACCCCATACTAGTCATGTATCGCGAACACCCAAAAACCCTGCAGTATATTTCGATATACTAACTCGATTGTAAACTGAGCTAATCGTCACTTAAATCCATCATCCTCGTCTTCAAATCCCAATAAGAAGCAACCAATTCGAACGAGAAAACAAAAAAAAAAAATCAACGGGGTTTTATGCAATCAAACCACAAAATCGAGGACTCACAGTTCGATAACGGAGATCCATTTAAGAGTGGCGTAAACAGACTCTGGATCATCGGGTCGGTGCAACTCTTTGACGCATCTCACGACACGAGCGAAGGACTCTTTCTCCTTCTTCGTCTCCTCCGCTACAGGCGGCGGTAGCCATTCATTGTACAGATGCATCGCTTCTTCTCAGTGTCCGCCTTCGTCGTCTTCAAATTTCTGCAGATTGTTGTAGTTTCTTCTCTCTCAGACGCTGAATTTAAGCTGCGTTTGCTTTTTCAGTTTTTTCTCTAGTTTTCTTTCCAAGCAAGAAAAATCATATCCGAGGAAAAGGACAATCAACATACCAATAGAGAAATGAAAACAACTTGAGGAGAAAAATTTATTCTATTGACTTTACCGTTGACTGGTTACCGGCAACGGACGCGGCAGGTACACCATTTACCGAAACCGACTAAATAGTATTTCAAATTAGGCCCTTAAGTTTTACTTATAATACAATTTACTCTCATAGGTTATGAAACATTTGAGTTGTGCTCTATTAGTTACGAATCGAAACTACATTTTTTAGATGGAACGCATTACTGTCCACAAGTAATTCCGGCCCATAAATTGTGAACTTAATTCTGACCGTGCGATGGAGACACATACGCATAAATGGTTATTTTGTTGTCAACAGGTGGAAATTTATGCAGCTATTGTTCATCGAATTAACTTAAGTGTGTATGTATATTGCATACATTGCATACATATATGATGACGACATTAACATTACGGTTTATTTTGTGATAGGTCGAGGATGTGATAGGATCCTACGTTCTAAATGAGTGATTAAAATCACTAAAACATAGCTGAAGTTTAATTTTTTTGATTAAATAGTTTAACTTTGAACTAACAAACAACAAGGTCGTTGTAGTATAGTGGTAAGTATTCCCGCCTGTCACGCGGGTGACCCGGGTTCGATCCCCGGCAACGGCGTAATTTTTTCCCGTTTTGTGTGATGGGCCGTTTTTGGTCCGGGAAGGAAGTCTTTGTAAGCCCATTTATTTGAACGAAAAGGCCCAACTCTAATTACCTTCGCCGTATTTGTTCCTTTTCTTTTTGTAAGCAAAATATTTTTATTGAATCAGAATATAATTTCTACGTTAGAACGAAAAAAAGATATAAGAAATATTAGTGGTCTAAAGTTTGGACAGTGTTGACTGGTGAGTGTTTAAAATTATATTTTACGATTGACATTATTTATTGGCTAGATAAAAATAAAAGAATTCATACTTAAAGTGGTAAATATCTAACCAAGAAGGTACATAAGTGTTAAAGAGAAACCAGAGTTTTTGGTGTAGACTTTCCTTAAAAGCTAACATAAAAATGTCAACCACGTCCCAACTCGAACAGAACTTACATACGAAGAAATAGAACTAGAGAAGGTGGTTCATGCTTTTATGAACTATGGAAAAATTACGAGGATATGGGAAAAGAGCATACCATTATTATACCAATTCCAATGGAAAAGGGAAAACATTGATGGATTTGCAAGACATAATCAAGTGTTTTGAGTTTGGAGTCTTCGGACCTTGGAAACAAAAAAACAGAAGGTTAATTATTCTTCTTTTATTAGACTTAAACAACTCAATAGCACAAACTTATGAGTTATGGAGTATCATGGAATGTGTAAACATTTTTCATTTGTACATGTATGTGTTTTTTTTTTTTAAGTTCTCAAGTCTCAAGTGTTACACGCAATAGTGGTTAACCAAATAAAGACAACTGAAATGTTGGAAAAAATGACTCTCAGCTTCACGTAATTGTCCATGAGCCATGCTGTCTATTTTGTGCATTTTCTTGTTTTATACAAGATCTAAGCACATACACTCTAGAGATGAAACATTCCAAACACGTGGTAGTTTTATACAAGATCTAAGCACATACACTCTAGAGATGAAACATTCCAAACACGTGGTAGATTTTGGCTGTTTGCTATCCTTAGAGAAATTTCTCAACGATCCACCCGAAAACACATGTACAGTGAATGAGTGAAAGAGTTTATCTTAACATACGATAGTTTAGTTTTCTTTTCTCATCTATATTAAATACTTGAAAACATAAATTTTACTATTAAGTGCCAATAAACATTTTTATTGCAAGTTTATATTCTTGAAGTTGCATCTGAATAACATTTTAGTACTTCTTCTGTTTCATAATAAGTGTCGTGTAAGGTTTTTACACACATATTAAGAAAACAATTAAATTTTTTTGTTTTACCATTATTTATATATATATATTTTTTTATTGGTCAATACATTAAATTAGTAAAAACAAAACTAAAAATTTTACCAAATATCTGCATTGAGAATACAAAACGACATTTATTTTAAAACAAAATTCAAAATAAAATGGAGAGAGTATTCATTACTAGAATGAAATTATATTTGTCTCGAATTGTGAGTCTATTGAGTGGACCATTCATATCGGATTTTGGATGGGACCATACAACACGACGTGGTATATGATAAATTTTAAGTCCTGTATGTCTGTGTTCCGAAGATAACGTTAAACAAATAACACCAACATCTGTTTCAGAAAGACAAACCTGTCTTCATAATCTAAATCAAAACTTTAAAATCTTTTATAATATCTCAAGGGTGAATATGTAATAATGTAACAACGCCAATCTTGTAATAACATATAGAATTATAGATATGATTAATTAACCCAAACAATCAGTTGACATATATAAAAAAGTTAATCAAATCTAGTAATGAGAAAAAGAAACGAACCGTCCCTTTCTCCACTTAAGTAGTTTAATTGGTTCTGTGAAGGAAGATAAATTCGCTGTACCTCTCTCTCTCTTCCCGTTTTCATTTTTGTGTTCTCTGGCGGCCGATCCCGTCGCTACCTTTTAAGATATTTTTTTTACATGAACCTGAAATTGAAATCAGGAATATATTTCGGGATTATTTGCTGAAATTTCTCATTTCTAGATCGAAAAAGAGAAAGCGGATAATTCGTTTTCGTTTGATTCCTGCCAAACAAATCCTAGGGTTTGTTCTCCCCTTGATCTATATATTTTCATATATTATTTTTACTGGCTGAATCATTCTCGTATGTGTTAATTTTGTATATTGTGATTGTTAGTGTTTCTGAATTAAGTGTTTCAGATTGGGTTTTTCTCCTTTTTTTTTTTCCATTTTTGTCTGATTTAGTTTATAGGTTAGGTTTGCGGAGTCTATACTTTGAGGTTGTGGAATTTTTTGTTTTGCTTTGAATTGGATCAGCCCATTTCGTTTTGTAGGCATAGACATTGATCAATTGCATGTTATAATGTTTAGTATTAACTTTTAAGCTGTTTTTTTTATATCCTAAAACTGTTCATTCATTTGTAAGTAGGGACTTAGAGTTTCTTGATTTGGTAGATTTAATTATATGGTTGTGTTTGTATATATATGCAGGTGCCTTTATTTATCTACCAAAAGAATGTCCAATTATCAAGGAGATGATGCTGAGTACATGGAAGACGTAGATGATGAGATGGAAGATGTTGAAGATGATATGGATGACGAGTTTCGTGGCGATGATCTTGGTGCTTCTGATTCTGATGTTGAAGAATTTGACTACTCGGTAAGTATGATAAGATGGAACATGTTTCGTGGCAAAGACGTATATGATGAGATGGAAGCTGTTTTGTTGGCTATGCTACTTTATAATCTCATTTTACAGCTTTTTCTTACCTATGTCGTGATTTCGTGTTATATGGTTTCAGAATAATAAAGTAGCTGATACCTCGGCTGAGCAAGCTCGGAAAGGGAAAGATATCCAGGGGATTCCGTGGGACAGACTTAGTATTTCTAGAGAGAAATACAGACAAACTAGATTAGAACAGTATAAGAATTATGAAAATGTCCCTAATTCTGGGGAATCATCAGAAAAAGTAAGGGTTATATTCCGTGATCCTCCATTTTTAGTATGTCCTGGTTAGCACAATTACCTAATACATCGTTTTTTGTATGGATTCAGGTTTGCAAAGTCACACAGAAAGGGGGACTATTTTATGACTTCTGGCGGAATTCACGATCTATCAAGTCTACTATACTACATTTCCAGGTTCTTTAAATATCGAGAGTTCACTAACTTGGACTACTTGATAGTCTTTTTCTTTCTGATTGGAATTATTTATTGTGTTTGACGCGGTTGTGGACATACCATTTTTCTACTGCTAAAACCCTCCATCTGATCAAGAATCTTTATTGGTGTCATAGCTGAGGAACTTGGTGTGGGCAACTTCTAAGCATGACGTGTATCTTATGTCAAATTTCCTGGTTACACATTATTCTTCTCTAACATCCGGAAAGCATGAAGTTCTCAATGTTCGTGGTCATGTTGCACCATCCGAGGTTGGTTTTAGTCAGAATGTAGAAGTTCTACATTACTGTAACTCTATGTGGTGCTGAACTGCTTTTGCTGCATTTAGAAACATCCTGGAAGTTTACTTGAAGGATTTACGCAGACTCAAGTAAGTACACTTGCAGTAAAAGATGACTTTCTAGTTGCGGGCGGGTTTCAAGGAGAACTTATTTGCAAGGTAAGTCTAGATTTATCTATCACGGATTAATCACATAAGCGACTTGCATTTCTGATCGAATAGCTTCATCTGTTTCCACATTGCTTCAGCATCTTGATAGACCGGGTGTCAGCTTTTGCTCTCGTACGACTTATGATGATAATGCTATAACCAATGCTATTGAGATCTACAACAAACCTAGGTTTGTGCTAGTCTTTTGCTGAAAGTTCCACATAAAGTTGTTAAGAGTCACTGCTTCTAAGTTTAGTTTTTGTCTTCTTTTCACAGTGGTGCACTTCATTTTACTGCCTCGAATAATGACTGTGGAGTTAGAGACTTTGACATGGAGAGATACCAGCTTGTTAAGCATTTCCGTTTTCCTTGGCCAGTGAATGTAAAGTCCTTGTTTTTTTCTTGGTTTTGCTTTTGATATAGCATAACTCTTGATCTCTTACACTTGCGGTAGATAGCATGAGTTTCAGTTAGGCTTTTATATCCCCATTTCTTCTTCATTGTACCTAATCCAAGTGATAAAGTTACATGTGTTTTGAACCATTTAACAAAAATGGTATTCTTTGTTTTCAATTTGGTGGTACAGCACGCATCTTTGAGTCCTGATGGTAAATTACTGGCTATTGTTGGAGACAACCCGGAGGGCCTTATAGTAGACCCCAACACAGGAAAGGTACATATTCGCGGTCCTGGACATTAGTGTGTGAGATACTCACATGGTTTGTTACCACGTATTTGCTTTATAATGCCAAGTCTTTGGAGTTTATGCAGACATTGGAAACTCTATCAGGACATTTGGACTTTTCCTTTGCCTCTGCGTGGCATCCAGATGGGGTCACTTTCTCAACAGGAAACCAGGACAAGACTTGCCGTGTATGGGACATCCGTAACCTATCTCAGTCTGTTGCTGTCTTGAAGGGTAACCTAGGAGCAATCCGGTCAATCCGCTACACATCAGATGGAAAATACATGGCCATGGCTGAACCGGCGGACTTTGTCCATGTCTATGATGTCTCAAACGGGTATGAAACAGAGCAGGAAATCGACTTCTTTGGGGAGATCTCTGGAATATCTTTCAGCCCTGACACAGAGGCGCTATTTATTGGGGTATGGGATCGCACTTATGGTAGCCTCCTTGAGTTTGGTCGGCGCAGGAACTATTCCTACCTTGACTCGTATCTTTAAACAAGAAGAGAAGTATACACAACCCTGTCCAAGGAATAAAAGAGAGCTCATTCAGCAACCAGTGAACATGACAGAAGCAAAGCATAGATATAATGGATATCTTAAAGGTGTAAATGATGTGTTGTGCAAATGCAAGTTAGTTAGTGTCTTTTGTTTCCTTCTCCGCCTGGTGTGTTGTGTTCCTTATTTCTGGTCTCAATCTCGGTTCAAGATGTGTACAGAAAGGGCTGGTTCAGTGGTGGCGCAGACTGGATTAGGACTTGATGGTGGCGCTGCAGCTGGACCGGGATTTGAAGTCGGTGTGGGATCCGAGGATGGTTCTGTTTGGTAGCTTGTGAGTCTTTTCTTTTTGTACCTTGTACTTGTGGTTGTTGTAGGAACTCGAGTGTTTAGATCCTGTTCTGAGTTTAGAATGTGGAGATGCTTAACTAAACTAAAATAAATTAATAATAGTCCCTTATTCGTTATAATTCGATTACAAACCCTAATTACAGACGATTTCTCTCTAAACAGCAATAGTAATGTGTGTATCATGAATGCTATTTTTTTGGAAATTACGTCCATTACACATATAACTCAATGTTCATATTTATAACATGAACATTTTATTGATTTCTAATATAGAAGATCCACAGATAGCATGAGAAGGCGCTGCTGTCGAAGTCCGCCCCCAAGGAGTCACAGTATACAATAGTGATAATTATGGCGCCATGTTTTTGAAGAAAGATCTGGATATATGGCTAAGCCCGTACTACAAAATGGCACTTGCTAAAAAGGAAACAACAAGAGAGACACTAGTTCGCAGTTAGTAACCTCCTCACTAGCTCTAAAGCCATAATAAACATGGCATATTTTGCAACTCATAGAAATTTTTAAACAAGTTCTATAGAGAAAAAGACAATGTTACAACAAACACAAAAGACAACAAAAGGGAGAAAAGCGACTGAGCCACTGTAGAAGCAGCAGCTCCTGACTCATGTGAAGATTTATATTCCAACATCTCAATTCCGTATATCTCCACATCCTTAACTCCTTTGTCTTGATAAACCTGTAAAAGATTAACAAATTTGTAAACAAACACTGGTTTAATTGAAAAAAGAAGTCGAGATATGATTTATGATGATTTGTTACCTGTTTCTCAGATTCAGTGAGATTGCTCCACATGTGTCCTATTTTCTTGGTAATGGATCGTTCTTGAGCATGGTAATCAGGTTTAAGCCTAGCGTACTGGTCAGCAAAGAAGAAGTTGTAGCCACTCCTGTAGCATTTGGGCTTCTGAGTATCGACTACAGCCAACTTTGATTTCTTCCTATGCCGGCGTTGTGATGATGGTAAAATGGCTGAAGGTGTTTCCATGGTTGGTTGTGACTCCCTTGGCGTTTGAGGAATGTGGTAAAGCACACCTTTCAGCTCTTGAGAACCCAATTTCATCGTCACCAGATAGCCGTAATCAAACTACTTCCCGTCAATGAATCCTTGAACCTCATACCCAACTTGTGGTTCATCAATACCTGCAGGTTCCACAACGTAATCACAAAGACAAACGGTCAAATTTAACTAGATATACACGTGGTGAATCTATACGGTAATCTTGAACGGATAAGGAATGGAATCAAAGGAAAGACAAGTGTATTATCAGAACAAACGCCGCTAGGAGCTTTACCGCTGAACAGATGCCTCACCGGAGCCACAACCAGAACCGACGAGAAACACGCCGCACGAGGACAGAATTGAAGCCAAACTCACCGGAGAAGAACCTTGTCACAGCACCGTCCTCAAGTACCGAAAACAAGAGCAAACTGCCCCTTGCACCGTGCGAAAGCGAGACCTCTCCCAGTTCACCACCAACAAGAGACGAAAACCCAGCCATGGACAGAACACCACAGGAGCGACAAAGGCAGCACGGAGAAGACAACCAGAGAAAAGGGGAAGAGGGAGTGGCCCTCTCCGGAAACCGGTGAGGAGCACCGTCGCCGGAGAGATTTAGGTTTTGACGGCTGCGAGGATGCGAGGGTTGGGAGGGATAAAAAATGTTTTTCACCATCGCATCTCTTGTTGTCTCAAGGGATAACCATTAACAGGCTCCACGTGAGTTTGAGAGTACGGTGGAATATCGGTCGACATCTTTTCTGGTTAGTCCGAGAACAGCTCGGAGCTTATCCCAGAAGAGAGCAGAGTTACGGACAAGATCATCATATTTGGCAGGAGCAGAGGAATCGTCGCGTCTCTTGTTGTCTCAAGGGATAACCATTAACGGGCTCCACGTGAGTTTGAGAGTAGGGTGGAATATCGGTCGTTTTTATAACCTCCATAGATTATATTCATCGTTCTTTTTGGTTTTGATGGTGGACTGTGACCTCTTTCTAAATCATCAAATCCACTTTTATAACCTCTATAGATTATATTCATCCGTACCTTTGCTGGTGATGGTGCACTGTGATTTTCTAAATATATGCTCGTTAATTCTATAAATTAAAACTTTCTTACAATTCGATTTTTTCCCAAATCAAAGTAAAACTTCTATAATTCAATAGTGTCAGGACCATAAAATTCTATTAATTTATCGATAAATGAATAATTATTAAATTATACACAGTTTTAGCTAATTTGGTAATTCTTTAAAATTTCAATCTAAAAATAAACTTTTTTTTAATAGAAATCAATATCCTCACTAGCTCTAAAGCCACTTTAAAAAAAACAAACAATACTAAAATCATATTATTTTACCATATTTTCTTACATTTATATATTATTTATACAATTATTAATTTAGAATACTGATAGGACCATATAGTTACATATGATTTTCAAACAAATTATTATTTTATTATTTTATTAAACTATGTTAAATATTACACTGGCCCGAGTCGAGACTTGAAAAATTTATTAATTTACAGTAATTATCAATTTATCGAGTTTTTTTTGTACATTATTCACAAGATAAAATCACTCTTTGCAGCCAACAGATGTGTATCTACTTGATGAATCAAGTGCAGAGCTGGACTGTGAGGAGAGAGTCGAAGCTGCCAGAGTTATCAAGAGTTTTATCTGGCATAGGAGAAAAGCAGCGGTGGTTGCTGAGCATGAGTTCGTCATAGCAACATACCTGGCGGATTCTGTGGTCGTCTTTGCAGGCCAACCGTCGTGTGAGTGCACTGCTCACCCACCAAAGTCGATATCCAGCGGTGTTAATAGACTTTTGAAGACACTCGATATAACTTTCCGAAAGCACCCCACTTGTTTCCGGCCTCAGCTGAACAAGGTTGGATCTTCAAAAGACTTGGATCAGAAATCGGTTGGGAAGTATTTCGTCGTGGACGACTAAGAGAGTTTGGATACTGGATTGTGTAGATAACAGGTGTAGTGTCTAACTAGCCTACTGGATTTTGAAGTAGATAACACATGTAATGTCTAACTAGCCTTCTAAACAGCAAAAAAAAAAAAATCTTTCCTTAAAAATATTTGCTGCATGGAGTACAAATTCTCTAGGTGCTTGTGGTTGATACGAATATGCAATATTAAAAGGACCATCCACATTCCCAGACAGATCTCAAGCTATACTTACCACTTCAAGAACATGTCAATACTGGCGAGAATTCATAGGTCCTAACACATTGATAATTGCCATTTCAAGACAATCAGAATATATTGGTTTCCCAAGATCTCATCTGGTGACAGCTTAGCTTCCGTCCATCTGAGAGAATCATTGCATGACCGCAAAACCTTGCTCCACGACCGAACTTTGAGCTTAATAAAGATACTACACACGGGGACTTAATAAAGATACATCACATATCATCAAGTAACATAAGATGCATAACAAATAAACATGGCGCCATCTTTTTGAAGAAAGATCTGGATATATGGCGATGCATGTAACACTACAAAATGGCACTACTAAAAGAAAGAAAAAAAAGAGACACTAGTTCGCAGTTAGTAACCTCCTCACTAGCTCTAAAGCCATAATAAACATGGCAAATTCTGCAACTCAAAGAAAATTTTAAACAAGTTCTATAGAGAAAAAGACAATGTTACAACAAACACATAAGACAACAAAAGGGAGAAAAGCTACTGAGCCACTGTAGAAGCAGTAGCTCCTGACTCATGTGAAGACTTATATTCCAACATCTCAATTCTGTATCTCTCCACATCCTTAACTCCTTTGTCTTGATAAACCTGTAATGATGAACAAATTTGTAAAAAACAAACACTGGCTTAATGAAAAAAAGAAGCAGATATGATTTGATGATGATTCGTTTACCTGTTTCTCAGATTCAGTGAGATTGCTCCACATGTGTCCTATTTTCTTGGTGATGCTTCGTTCTTGCCCATGGTACTCAGGTTTAAGCCTAGCGTACTGCTCAGCAAAGAAGAAGTTGTAGCCACTCCTGTGGCATTTGGGCTTCTGATTATCGACGACAGCCAACTTTGATTTCTTCCTATGTCGGCGTTGTGATGATGGTACAGTGGCTGAAGCTGTTTCCATGGTTTGTTGGGACTGACTTGGCGTTTGAGGAATGTGGTAAATCACACCTTTCAGCTCTTGAGAACCCAATTTCATCGTCACCAGATAGCCGTTGTCAAACTTCCCGTCAATGAATCCTTGAACCTCATACCCAACTTGTGGTTCATCAATACCTACAGGTTCCACAACGTAATCACAAAGACAAAACGGTCAAATTTAACTAGACACACACGTGGTGAAACCTATGCGGTAATCTTAAACGGATAAGGAATGGAATCAAAGGAAAGACAAGTGTATTTATTTGTTAGTGACTTTAACTCACCAAAAGATGGGTTAAAACATGATAGAATCTAAAAGGAATGAAACAGCCATAACACGTTCAGCACATGAATTTTTGACAAGTAATGAACCTGAATGGGGAATTAAAGGCCTAGCAGACATTACTTCTTTACAAAGAACTTGTAATTAACTTTAACCAATGGACAACTGAATACAACATTCTACAAGCTGATGTATGGACAGGGGGGAAGAAAACAAAAGCCACAGACGGAGTTAGGGAAACGTTACTTATACCTTCCTCAGGATTTGGAGATTCATTGGCAAGGCTCTTCATTGCTTCATCTGGAAAAGCATGAGAATTTTGGCTTATCTCAGCATGTCAGAGAGTAACGAAAGAAAACGCCAGACAACTATAAGAATTTGAGTGTGGAAATAGACCTGTTGATTGGATCGAAGACACTGGTTTTTCAAGGTAATACACATGTTCCAGCTGAAAAAGAAACTTGAGATAATACTTCCTCAAGACAAACGATGCACTTGTTATCGTTGTCGGAAAACTGAATGCACCAATCACATCTTTCCATTTCCGATCCTTAACCACCTAGAGTAACAAAAAAAACATACACATTTCAATACTCAATGGAACAATATTAGTCTCCCAATAGTATGATTAATGGTAACATGAACTCATACCCTTTCGATACCACCTCGAGACGTAACCTCAATGAAAAGCCGATGCAGATCAAGAGTGTTCCCTCCCACAGTAGGAACCCTTTTACAGAGACAGAAAATGTTTCACTATCATTCAGTGATCAATTAATGGAAACAAGAGACAAAACAACACATAACAAGCCTAAACTCGTTCATAGATATACAGTATCGAGATTAGTAAAAACTAAATCCAGTTTGATTTCATTTCCTTATGCACAGTATGGACAGGTAAAGAATACGATAAACCTAATTCAACAGACGATACACATGACATAACGCACTTCCTGCATAAACGAAACACAGTGAAAGGTTTGGTGAATTACAACTAATTGACATTAAACCCTAATTGACCATTTTCAACATTTCACTGAGAGCAATCTCTAATTCTTTTGCTTCAATCTCAGCAAACAATATATCAACACCTCAGCCCTTAAATCTCTAACCCTAACCAATCTTCGAGCGAGATACAAACAAAAATTGCATATACCACTGATAAATCCTACAATCACAGAACAAGAAACACCTTTCAATTTCCATCGACACGAGACAAATAGAAAACCCCAGAAACGAAACAAAGAAGGGTTCTTTTTCTTCCACAGTCCTAACCCAAGAGACACAAAAATGAGAAAAAATAAAAAACTCACTTCAGAGTTTGGCTGGTTAGTCCGAGAACAGCTCGGAGCTTATCCCAGAAGAGAGCAGAGTTACGGACAAGATCATCATATTTGGCAGGAGCAGAGGAATCGTCGCGTCTCTTGTTGTCTGAAGGATAACCATTAACGGGCTCCACGTGAGTTTGAGAGTAGGGTGAAATATCGGTCGACATCTTTTCTTTTGGCCGTCTTGGTAAAGGTAAGAGCAATTGAGACGACCGTATTTAAGATTTTATTTTTCCTAAGAGATTAATAATCTTATCTTATAATTTGGAAAAAAAAGGATAAGGATTAAACGAAATTCACACAAATGTGAATGATTTTATCTTCAGAGATTCTGCCCTAAATCATATTTTTATCTTCAGAGATTTTGTCTACCACTCCATGTCCTTTATATTATTAGTCAACACACAAATTTATTTACTTCCTTTTTCGGCTAATTACTTTCATTAGGTTTAGATGAAAACTGAGCCGAGCCCACAACAAAAGCCTCTTTCCCGGTTAAAAGGCCTACCAAATCTAACGGCCCATTAAACTACCTCCAACTGTAATGGCCTATTGTTTTAAAAAATCAAACCCGATTCGATATTCATATGTGGTTCACAAATATAATATTTGTAAGTTATTATTTTCCAGACAGCCTATATTTTATAAGATTAATAAAAGTTACTTCCTTTTTTGGCTAATTAGTAAATTACTTTGAATAGGTTTAAGATGAGGAGCAGAGCCCATAACAAAAGCCTCTTTCTCGGTTAAAAGGCCTACCGAATTCAACGGCCCATTAAGCTAATCCCAATAATAGCCTATTATTTTAACCAGACCGGACCGGTTGGTCCAACCAGAAATCATCTATTTAGCCGAATCTTGATTGAATCAAAAACCAGGATTTAAGTTGAATCACTCAAACCGTCGGAAAACCGTTATAACAAACCGGTGATCCGATTCGAGATCAAAAATCTGGTTCACGAAATTTTTTAAGCTATTTTCCATCCATTGTAACCAAAACATTGTCTCGTGTTTCTGGGAAAATGTAAACATCGTATTTTAACTATAACCATTGGGACAATATCCTTGAAAGACCTTAATTATTACAATCTGGAGAAACAAAAAAAATGTTTGATAACACAACAAGAAGAAGGAAGTTTTCAAGTTGGTATAACTAATCGTGAATCAGGAGAGAATTGTAGGACTAGAAGCCGAAGTATAGAAACGAGCAAGATCAATTGTGTCAAGATATAGAAACCGAGCTTACATGTTTTTCCTAAGATGTTTCCACGGTTTGATTCAAGATCTTCTTTCAGAGAATGTAACTTCTTAGGTTCTTGGAGTACTTGTAGTGAACTCAGAGTTCTTGTGAGTATCAAATGCTCGATTTCAGTTTCGATCCTTCTCTGGAAAATGCCTTCGAGTTCAGATTCAATCTTTAAGTTTTCGAGTTCATGGATCCTGGCTTCCTTTGCCTCGAGAGCAGCTCTCGCTTCCTCGAGTTTGTGTTCCAGATGTTTTACCTTCACCTTCAAGATCAGTGCCTTTGATCCTGAGGATGTTGAGTTATCTTCTCTACAATTTTCATGACTTGGTTGGGCTGCACTCAATTCATCGGTGTTTGAATGTAGTAGTATAGATTCCTTACCCAGCTCCTGAAAACTTTGAACCTCTGCACACGTTTCAATCGCATAGTTAGTTTAGAAATGTTATATAACATTGATAATATAAAGGGTTGATATTGTTTTGGATAGAAGGAACATGAGAGCTTTAGGAGATGAACATTAAAACAATTCACATGGTTATCAAAATCAAGGTTTGTGTGCAAACCTTTCCAAAGAGCTTCCTGCAGAGCTGCAAAGCTTCCGATAGACTCTGCAAGTGGATCTTTATCTGCCCAATGATTATTGTTTTTCTTACTCTCATCTCCATCGTCTTCTTTATACCCGTTTTTGCTTCTGCTATACGTTTGAACTTCCTCCTGAACTTGACCTTCATTGCTAAATCCCCCAATATAATTCATCGTCAATCTCTCATCTTTCTCTCCATGGTTAGCAACAGAAACCGAGCCACTCGAAAACACAAAATCGCTACTTCTCAAGTCGGAATCCAAGCTAGAACAAGGCTTCTCCTTCTCACTATTCCCCCGCTCCTCGCTAGCCTTCTTGATGGTATCACTCCAGAGTTTCTCTTGGCTACCTGAAACAATCTTCCCTCCTAGTACATTCTTTGCACCTATGGTATTACCACTATGCTCTTCACTTTTCTCAAACGCTTGGCCAACAGCAAACATACAACCTATATCGGGATTAAACCCGTTGGCTACCCCTGGATGATGCACCATATTCACAGACCCAACAGAGCCTTCACTACTCTGCCTTGCTTCAACTGAAGACAAGTCAACATGTTTAGAAGGAGGATTCACCAAACCAGCCAATCCACGTTTCAGCAACTTACTACCATCATCAACAGGAGCAGCCTCGTCTCTCACAGGACCATCTCTTTTGATCCGTCTCCATTTCTTCAAACCAAAACCTTTCCTCGTAGAATGTACTGATCCACCCGGAGATCCAACGCTGTTCGATCGTTGAGGTGATCCAACACCTCCTTCCTCATGATCAATATCAGGCAATACTAATAATCCATTTGCAGGGACTGAATTACCATTGTCTTCCACAGATTCAGGGACTGACTCATTCATGCCTAAATCCATTTCACAAAAAAAACAAGGTATCAAATTCTCTGTCATCAGAGACAAATCTGAAAAAAAAATTAACCTCTAAAGAACTAGATTCAGCTCACTACTTCAAAAGAACCTTATTAACGAACTACAATGAACAAAACTCAATTCCCAATTCAAAAACTTAAAGAAACAGAGAGAGGCGAATCGAATCCAATTGAAAAGCGTACCTAAAACAATATAGACAAACTCATCCAACGAGGCAACAAGAGCTTCCCCGAGTTATAGAAGAGCAAGAGAAATAAAATCCTAAGGAATTTAGAGCATCAATGGTCATGCGACGGAGGAATCCGCCGACACTGTTGAGTTATTATTACCGGAAGAAGCCGCATCAACGAATATGATTAAAGTGGACGATATGATTTTAGAGACACAGGAAAAAAGAAAAAAAAAACATAAAAGAGAAAAATAATGAAGATTGTTCGAATGCGACGCCTAGATAACCGCCTTGACCGCCTAAAATTACACAGATCTTGTTTAATGTATTATTTCAATTTTAATTAGAGTTTATTTATATATATAGTTATAAATATTCATATATTATTTAATATAAATATAAATAAATGTTTTATCTAATTTTTGTTTATAATTTCATAATTTTTAGTTTTATATAGATATTTTATATATATAATATCATATTTATAATATTTTATGTTATAAACGTCTAAACCGCCTAAAAAATCGCCTAGGCCCGATTAGGCGTTCTAGGCGCTAGGCATTGGGTCACCGCCCACTTAGCGCCTATATGATTTTAGAGACACAGGAAAAAAGAAAAAAAAAACATAAAAGAGAAAAATAATGAAGATGGTTCGAATTACACGTGGGACCCACATGACATAAACCCAGTGCGCCAAGCTGGCCGTCCGATCTGGAGTAGAACATGTCGGAATTAAAGTGTGTACACATATGTATATGAGCCCAATATGTTGGGCTGTTAAGGCCCATTAAAACTAGCCTCTCCTTCAGGCCATTATTTATTTTCAAAATAATGAAAAGTGTGAATTTCTATTTTAAAATTTAAAACACCTATGTGATATCATATTCAAAATAATGTTTTATGCAGATTTGAACATTTACAAATCATTTAAAAAATTATCTCCTTAAAATGAATTCATTTTTCTATTTTTTTATAAAGTATAAATTTTCGAGAAATGAAAAATGCTAATTAAATTATCTTGATGTGTGGGATTGTTCTATAATTGTAAAATCTCCATTGTGTCTAGGAAATGGGTTAATATTTAATATATGTATATAATTAAAAGTTAGGTGTAAACTGTCCACAATCTGAAATCTAATTCCAAAACATTTGTAAAAATTTAGATCACACAGTGAAATTTCCAGGATATCTCAAAATTAGATTCATTTTTAAAATCTAGATAGCTAAGTTAATTCATTAAACAGAAATTAATTATTTTAGTAAAATGAACAAAATGTGATTACCATTTAATTTAAAATATATTATAGTTATGTCAACTTAAAATATACAATATCCAAAAAATTATTTTATTTAATTTTAATATTTTATGATAGTAAATTGTCAAAATATATTAGTATTTTAACTGATATCTATGAATATATTTAATTATGTAATTCAAATAAATAAATTTTGTCATAAAATAACTAATGTATATCATCTATAGTTTGAGACTGTAATTATGATTAGATAATCTCTTTGAGACAGTATTTATTTTTTAAGATTATTCATATCATTATAAACATTATAACAATATATTATATGTTTTAAGTGAATCATAATCTAGTATATACACATACAAACACTCACAGTTTTAATATATTGCAAGTTGTAACAATCATTCTCTATCAACAAAAAAAAAAGACAACTTTTTCTTCTTTATTTTACCAAGTTTCACACCCCCAGTTCCTAGTCCGAGAAGAAACCCTCAAATAATTTAAATGCCTCCCACAATGTCTTGTTTGATTCCCAAAACAGTTTTCATATTCCTTGTCACTTGTTTTGTGTGTCTTGGACCTTATGCCCATGCAAGAAGTTTGAATTCACCCGTCATGGAAGAAACCAACCCGCTCATAAAAACGACAAAGGTTGCAGAGGAAAACAACGAGAAGAATTTACAAGTAAATATCATTTACGGAGGTTATAAAAGTGGACCTGATGATTCAGGAAAAGGCCACGATGCACCGTTACTACCAAAAACACCGATGAATATAATCTATGGAGGTTATAAAAGTGGACCTGATGGTTCAGGAAAAGGTCACGATGCACCGTTACCACCAAAAACATCGATGAATATAATATATGGAGGTTATAAAAGTGGACCTGATGGTTCAGGAAAAGGCCACGATGCACCGTTATCACCAAAAACACCGATGAATATAATCTATGGAAGTTATAAAAGTGGACCTGATGGTTCAGGAAAAGGCCACGATGCACCGTTACCACCAAAAACACCGATAAATATAATCTATGGAAGTTATAAAAGTGGACCTGATGGTTCAGGAAAAGGCCACGATGCACCGTTACCACCGAAAACACAGATGAATATAATCTATGGAGGTTATAAAAGTGGACCTGATGGTTCAGGAAAAGGCCACGATGCACCGTTACCACCAAAAACAACTTTAAATATAATCTATGGAAGTTATAAAAGTGGACCTGATGGTTCAGGAAAAGGCCACGATGCACCGTTACCACCGAAAACACCGATGAATATAATCTATGGAGGTTATAAAAGTGGACCTGATGGTTCAGGAAAAGGCCACGATGCACCGTTACCACCAAAAACACCGATGAATATAATCTATGGAGGTTATAAAAGTGGACCTGATGATTCAGGAAAAGGCCACAATGCACCGTTACCACCAAAAACACCGATGAATATAATCTATAGAGGTTATAAAAGTGGACCTGATGGTTCAGGAAAAGGCCACGATGCACCATTACCACCAAAAACACCGATGAA